CCTGTGAAGACCAAAGTGACATGCGAAATATTGATTTGGCTTTAACTTTTTGTTGAGACAGAGAACTCAAAATGATGTTGATCCACTCAAAAACCCACTACCACTTCTAGGTGACTGTTAATCTAAATGTCTATACTATAGGCAACAAAACCTAGTAAAAGGCATTAGAATGACTAATGCCCCGGTATCCCAACCATCTATTCAACTGACAGCTAGATGGCTGGGGTGTACGAAAAAATTAGCCATCTTCATTCCAATTCTGTTTCTAATTCACTCCCCAACACTCGAGAAGGAAATTGAATAATAATGATGATGGTGCCTAGCATTTCCTATTTTAGCAGGTCCTCTTCAGACATCTCTATGTCCAAAGGCCAGAAGAGCATCTTAAGCTTGTTTGTATGATACAAACTGTCTGCTACATCCTAATTCAGGTAGAATACATAACTACTGACATAATTTTGAAACTTTTGCACATTCCTGAGACAAAATAACTAGGGTTCACAGAAGACAACAACCCAATTAAATAAGTGCAGTTATACAGAGTAGACATTAGGACGAGGGGGATGGATGAAAATGATAAAGTATTTAGTTATTAAGCATTTTTATAGATATTTTATAATAGTAAATGAAATTTCCTGCAGTGACTAGATTGCCACATTGTATTAAGCCATAATTTGCTGATCTATGATTTACTAATTAAACCCCAATTGGTGGGCTCCCACATTGCACCAAGACATATTATATTGCACTTCATTTAATTTAGGGTTATGTGAACCCAGGAAACAGGTGTCGGGTAGATCTTACAACTGTGCCAAGGTTCAACAAACTATGGCTTATCAATATGTGAATCAGGCCACTTCCTCAGAAGCACCACTGTCCAGAGGACCAGGTGATAAACAATCACTCCTTTAGGATGTTATTGTAACATAGCCTTTCTTTCTTTCTTTCCTCCCTCTTTCTTCCTCTTTCTTTCTCTTTTGTGTTCCAACCATCTCATCTAGGGGCGACTCTCGGCAGCTTATCAACATTAAAACCAGTAACCATTAAAAGGATAAAGAAATAAATAATGGCAATTTATCATTAAAAGATGGAGAAGGGAGAAGGGAGCACAAAGTACATGGGGACAGGTGCATGTGTGTGTGGGGGGAGTGTCTTCTTTAATCCTAGGGCCACATCCAGAATGATATTATTGCAATAGTCCAACACTGGAAGTTTTTAAGATGTTGGATAGCCATTTGAAGTGGCGTAGGGTTTCCTGCCTAAGCAGGAGGTTGGACTAGAAGACCTCCAAGGTCCCTTCCAACTCTGTTATTCTAAATTTCAATATAAGTAAATATTTATTACTTCAAATGGTTATATTCCAGTTTCCTCTTCACAGCAATTTAGTCCCAAGCTCCGAGACCGAGCAAGTACTTCCATTGACACATTTGATCCTGCCAGTCCCCTTAAAAGATGGTATCTCCACCTCGTTTAGCAGAGGAAGATACCGACCGGGCAACTGGGCTGACAAGCCGACAGCCCCAACCCCACCCACTCAAGCCAGCAAAAGGCGAGGTCATTGTACTCTGCGCCGCAGGGGAAACAGGCTCCGCCGTAGGCACATCATCCCAGGCAAGAAAGGACCGAGGGAGCCCAAAATCAATACTTCCTCCCTCCCTCCCGGGAAGGCAACCTTCGCCCTATGGCGAGAACGGAGAAGCTATTTGCATCTCCATCACTTCTCCCCACCCCCCATGCGCTCCTCCTTCCCCCTCCTTCATCCACACCTCCTCCGTCTCCTCTTCCCACCGCGCCCGCTGGAACCTCACCCAGATACTCGAGCCCCGGCTGAGAGAGGCGATCCGCGTTCAGCATCCTTTCCACCGTCTCACTCTCGGCCGCCGGGCCGTTTCTAGGACACCAGACGCTGCCGCGAGGAAAATAACTTCCGGACAGAAACAAGACCCGGCCGTCGGAATCCCGGAGGAAGAGGATCTTGGTTGCACCAGGAATTGTCTTTCTTCTCCCAGGCTCTTGCTCGGTTTCCCTTGGGTCGGGTAGAGTCGGCTGCTTTGTAAAATAATCTCTCCCTCCCTCCCTCCCTCCCTCCCTCCCTCCCTCTCTCTCTCTCTC